TGCCATGGCACCACTGCTTTGGGCAGTGTAGCTACCACCAGCAGGCACATTAGCCCATCGTCCTGCTGTACCCTCATGCGAGGATATTGGCCGAGCGGCAGCAGTCTTGAGGCCCACACCTTAAGTGCATGACCACGCACCAAGCCCAATCGTGCCAAAAACTTCCATGCCCAAGAATAGCGATCATCACAGGGGCTAACACCCTTGCACTGAATGCCATTTGCCATGTAATCAGAAATATCAGCGACAAACATGGCAAGCAAGAGACCNNCATGCAGCTAGTGCCCAGCTAGTAGGAATGACTCGAGCCGTGGTTCTTGAGAGCGAGAGAGAGAGAGAGAGAAATTGCGGCGGCAACCTGAAGTTCCTTGGCTCTGGGGGTGCATGCTTCTATTATGCATTGACACGCGTGAACATCTCTGTCTTTGAGGGCTATCCACTTATGCTAGAGCGCTCGAATCAGTAGCACCCGAAAAAGAGCCCAAGTGCGCCTAACGACTCGGTTCACCGTCAGGAGCGCGGTGGATCTAGGGTTGAAGGATCATGCCAGAGGGTTGTATGAGGTCATCACCGGTTATTAAGCTGTGGTGGTTAGTTTAGCTTTGAGTCGTTACGCTGTTGCTGATGCAGTTAACCTGAACTGGCTATACAACCCAGGGACATGCGGAGACTCGCTGGTGTCAGCACCCACGTGAGGAAACGCCTTCGCCTTGTAGCTGAGAGTGTCGGTGCCGTGACCAGTCGCTGTTACATGTAGTGGGCATCCGCTACCAGCAGACTCCGTCACTAGCAGTTAACCCGTCATGGAGCCGGGGATGATGGGGGTTCTCACAGCTGGAGTCAGAAGCGGTGAGGCTCATATGTGGAAGCGCAAGTGACCATGCTGTAAATTATTAACTGACTGGGGCTGTATCCTGATGTTGACCTTCTGCGCGTTTCCATGTATGCTCGGTAACCGGGGCCTGACACAGTGTTCGTGGACTGCACCGCGCCCTGCTTGGGGCATTGCCCCGGCCCCTCCTTAGTGGAGGGGTAGAGCAGTGAGAAGAAGAAGAAGAAGAGAGAGGGAGAGAGAGGGAAGGTTTTGACCAGGGCAGGCTCAGCAGTTGGGAAAGGCTCACGCTGTGTCGGTGTTCTTTGTTAAAAAAGCGACTTCTCAGGCTCCTGACAAGATCCAGAGACTTGTGCGCTTCGCTGAATGAGCTGGATTAGCCTGGTAGCGGACAGCGTTGGCAACAGTGCCGATCTCACCGTGCAAGAAAAAGGATGCCCGTGCGAAGATCAAAGGAGTATGCGGACAGAAGATTCGCCGCATTCTCAAACTCAGAAACTCTTGTTTGGCAGCAAAAGAATTCTCCGCTGTGTAGACAACCTGAGAACGTGGGGTACACAGAGTGACATAAATTTAGCACCGAGCCTGCCTCTGCCAACCAAAGCTTGATATTGCTGTGAACTCTCGCTAAAAGGTAACAAGAGGCAATCGCCTTCGGCTGGATCTGGACTGCCTTCGAGTGTCCCGTATCCTTAGCAACGCAATTCCAATCAGCTCAACACGTCGGGGTATGCAGATGACAGCAAACAGACGCCGAGCGGAGTGATGAACACTGATGCCATGCATAAGTGATTGGTGTGGTGGGTTGCATGAAGCGCTCAGTCATGGTTTGTCTTCATCTTGCTCCTGTCGCAAATGGCTGCCACACAGCTTGTGCAGCGCCAGCTTTTGAAGACAACAGTTGTTGGCAAGTGTTGGCATGCGTTTGCACCTTTGAGTCTAACTTTTGCTAAAGATTGCAAATACATATATATATATATATACATACATACAGATCTCTCTATCACACCCAATTTTGCATGTGCAGTGCAACACACTTTGCGTGGGGTCTACGATCACCGGGAACCGTTTTTGGTTTCGGTCTTTCTGCTTGTGGTGGTTCTGTCTCACTTTTCTGCAAGCCCTAGGGGCAGCATCTCGAGAATTGCCTTGCTACCGGTGGTGCCGCTCACGTATCCGCATGCAAGCACATAGCCATCATGCTTGTTACAATGTTATACATTCCGGCCAAGCATGTTCTGCTTGATCTATGTGCGAGAAGCCGCAGCTTCTAGCATTCGAGCTCCGGACTCGCAGGCCTCTACAACGCATAGGCTGTGAAATGCGTCACTCCAAGCAATAGTTTCTGGAATCCTAAGGCCTTAGCATCTCAGCACAGATCAAAGCAGGTTGTATTTCAACGAGTTGTGGGAGTTGCTGAGGGCCAAATGGGGCATCGCATGGGCCGACACGCTGATCAGCTTACGGAAAACCAGCAGCCGAGCACAAGCTCCACTGACAAGTCGACACTGCGGGAAAAAGGATTTGCAGCTCTGCAGCGAGAATTCTATGTGGCGCGTGATGCATATGAGACGAACCACGGCCTCGACGTACCGGTCCAGCAGCGGGAAGTTTGTTCGAAGAGCTCACAGCTTCAGCCGCCTGGAAGCTGCTGTGCGGAAGATGCCGCAGATCTTTTATATCATAAAGCGTTCTCATGATTTCTTAGGACTTTCTTAGGGCCGCCCATTGCAACACTACTTGCGTGGCTCAAGTTGTTCCCGCACAAAGTCTTTGCATTGCTGAGGAAACACAGACCGAGTGCTGGGTGCACTGTATGGATGGTAGTCGCTACCCGATTACGCTGACAGCTTCTGAAACCGTGAGTGATGCCCTGCGCCAACTACACAAGCACGGCGCCATTCGCAGCGGCTATCCCCAATTGCTACAAGGCCAGAATGTACTCAACCACCAGCAAACCTGGCGTGAATTGAGGGCTTCCGCCGCGGATGATTTGCAGCTTGTGCTGCTACGGCCTGTCTTAGTTGTAGACATCAGCGATAACGCCCTTGGTTTTTGCGGCATTGATGCTTTGGTCACTGGAATGCAGGGAGCATCGCTCAGGGCACTGTCACTTGCAAGGACAGGGCTCTGCGGTGAGGAAGCTGGTCTAAAAGTAGCGCAGCTGCTTCAAAGCTCACCAAGCTTGGAATCGCTGGATCTCAGCGGCAACAATGGTTTTGGGGCCATATCTTTGGTCGCCTCTGGCATTGACATTGCGTCAATTGCTTCAGCAATGCCAACATGTTATTCGTTGCATTCTCTGACACTGGCTGACTGCAGTCTGGAGGGGTCTTCGGGAGGTCGTGATTTGGCATTCCTTGTGTCTATGTTACCAAACCTGAAGAGCTTTAACATTCGCAGCAACAACCACTTGTGTGCACAAGGCTTACTAGCCTTTGCCGAAGGTTTAAGCAGAGCAGACCTTGGATGTTCCATTCAGAAGCTCAGTCTCGAGGATACAGGCTTGGAGGAAGGTTTTGGTGGTGATGCTGCCGCGCAAATCTTTGCGAAAATGCCGCAGCTGGCCGAGCTGACCTTAGCAAACAACGCCTTGGGCTTGGCTGGGCTGGTCGCCCTTGGAGATTGCATGCCCGATGTCACCAGGCTAACCAAGCTGGACATGAAAAAGTGCAGCTTGCCCAGCGACTTGTCGTCGGAGAATTTCGATGTCCTGGTCGCTAAGTGCCCAATGATCGGAAGTATCGATTTGGAGGAAGAGCAAGGATTTGACGCCATCGTTTCACTGCAGTCCTTGCCCTACCTGCGAAACATGCAATCAGATTCAGCTAACCTTTGCCTACAGCATATCAAAGAGAGTGGGTTTGAGAATTTGGACAGCTTGGAGCTGGGAGCAGATGAAAATGAAAACATCGTAGCGCTTATTGCGCTTTGTGCAAGCTCGAATCTAAGAGCCTTGAGCCTGGATCACGGATGCCTGCAGACCGTCAATGATGGCATTGCCTTGGCTCGGCTGCTTGCTGCGATGGACGTGCTGGAAAGCCTGAGCTTGTACGGAAATCTTTCATTCGGCTGGCAAGCATTTCCAGCATTTGCAGAAGCTGCCCCGCGTTCAAGGTTAAGATTCTTGAACTTGGGTGAGTGCGGACTTGCAGGATGCGATTCAGGTCGAGCTCTTGCAAGCTTGATGCAGCAGATGCCTGAGCTGTGCAGTCTTTGTCTAAGGAAGAACCACCGGCTCCAAAACAGCGGGCTTCTTGCCTTTGCAGAGCGATTGTCTTGTCATGGCTCGCTGGCAACATTGGATTTGAGCTGCTGCGCTGCATCCGGACAAGTTGGAACTGGAGCCATTTTGAACATCGTGGAAGCTCTCCCTTCCCTCCGGACACTGTCTGTATCCGGCAACACACAGTTGCAAGAGGATGCGCTGAGATCACTTTTGGATGCTGTGGTCTCAAAGACCGCTGTCCGCTCACTCAGCTTAGCATCTTGTGGCCTCTCAGCACGGGATATGAACTTGCAGGACATATTCTTTCCAGACGTAGAATGTCAGCTAGAAAGCTTGGATCTCAGTGGCAACAGTGAGATCGGTGCCCTGGGCCTACAAACTCTCGTGCCGTGGCTGCCCAGCACAATTCAGCGTCTGGATTTGGGCGACTGTGGCTTGGAGTCCGTTGCAGGTGGTGCTGCAATTGCTGCCCTGGTTCGCAAGTGTTCGCATGAGCAACGATGACTCTTTTCCGTGATGTTACTGTCTCTGCGCCAGCTTCTGCAAGTAGGGTACTCGTGGGATGTCATGGCATGCTCCAGCAATGGAGGCCACAAGTGTAGCACCATGTCAGACGACTTTCCGGGGACATCTCCCCACGCGGAGGACATGCCTCCGCCGCCGAGATTTGAGGCTTTGAGCCTCAAGCTGCTCAAGAGAAGTTGGCGAACCAGCAGCTCAGAGACATTTTCATGTTCATCACTTAGGATATCAGAGTTTTGAGCGATTTGAGCCCAGTAAGCCAAGCCCCTGTCCGCAGATGCTCCGGAGACGCCAACTTAGCGCGATTTCGATTTCACCACGCACTGCGAGGCTGGTTACCAATGGCTGCACTTGCTTTACCCAGGTTGGGCTTACCGGCCCTCCAGCAGATATCTCGCGAAGCAAAAAAGGCTGGGAGGGCCTATGCGAGGGACTGGGATGGGGCCCCTCTCCCATGCTTTCGTTTATTGTCTATTTCAATGATGACGACGACGGCAGCAGCTGCTGCTGTTATTGCTACTACGACTGCTACTAGTAATACTCGTACAACTAGTGCTACTAGTGCTACTAGTACAAGTACAATTACAAATAGTAGGTAGTAGTAGCAGTAGTAGTAGCTTCCACGTCTGCATATGGACTGCCTTGGTCTACGGATCAGTGTTGTTGCACAAGCTGGCCAGTCGGGTTGCAGCTGCTCATAGCGTCCCATCAGCGTCTGCATGTTGGCATGATCATATTGTGTCACTTCTGCCTATGTTGGCTCCAGATTTAGGAGTGTGTAAAGTCAGCATGGGTCAGACTCGGGGCTTACACTTCTGGCAGGCAGGTTGTCAGACTTGTGAAGTTGTCAGTTGTTATTTGACTTTGGCCACAAGGTGTATGGAAAGTTAGCAGACGTGCTTCGTATTTATCTCATTCAGGGTTGAAGGCGTCAAAAATGGCACGGGCAATCTGCCACGTAACCTATCTGTCTTCTTGTGCACGGTTAGCCATGCTTCTGGACGCAGCCGCTCGGCCTTGTTTGCTCGGTTGCTTACGTCTTGCGCCAACGTCAGGAAGAGAGGGTTCAGTTTTAAGTGGCGCTTAGGGTGAAAGTTCCCATACAAAAGGAGGCCTTCAATATTTCTTGCGCGCACAGTCCTGCAACACACCAAATCGTCTGAACGCGCCACATCAAAGAAAGCTAATGGGAGGTTGGGCTTCTGATTTCAGGCGGACTTGGAACTTGATGTCCAACATATCTGTGGTCTTGGAGTCTCCTGTGTCAAGTGTATACTTCCTTTTTTGCATGCATGCGTGTGTATGGCAGAATGAGCCCACGCCTGCAGCATCCGGTTGCGGTGTGATGGTTTATCCACAGACCCTGGCCCAATCTCAAACCCAGAACCCCCAAGCATTCCAGGACATATCCTCTTTGTTGCGTAAAGTTAAGGATCTGCATTGCAGAGTGAATTTCTGCTTTGTAGCTCTGAGATGTCCAGGACATCTGGCCCCCAAACCGGACCCCAGGCAATCAGCTTTACATCGCAAGCCTTTCTGGACACCATGTTCTCGAGGGAGGATTGATGAGCTGCAATGCAGTAACAGACTTGCCTTGTGACTTTCAGATCCTAGGCCCATGCGCTGGCATCTTCCATTCGCTTCTGCCTTTCTTCGTCGCGACAGCTTGCGGCTCTCGTTGAGTCACAGGCAAATGTCCCCGTGATTCTCAAGCTAACCCACCCAACTGGACTCGATTTCAGCTTTGTTGCTTGAAGCCAGCATAGCTGTTGCAATTCCGCAGAAGGGCTTTCTTGGTTTGGTCAGCGCCTTTGGAGGTCATTATTCATGTAGAAGCTCCTGCAAGCACTGAAATGTAAACGCAAGCTTCTGGTGTCTTCAGCCCTCAGAGGCTGGCATTCATGTTCTTCTAGTAGTTTTTTCGATCTTGCAGGAGTGCAAGGCGCAAGTGGCATCGACGCTTCGACGTCTTGCAGAAGCAGATGCGCATATGCTGCAGGTGGATCAGGGAGTTCCGGGGCTAGGCAGGGCGGAGGATGAAGAACGGCTGGCATTGGCAGATTTGGGGGGCTGAGGAGGACCAGGGGCTGCGGTGCCTCATATGCACACCAACAACCATGTGTTCTCGGTTGAGACCCTGAACTCAGATACCCAAGCAAAGGGGCACCCCAACAAACGATGTAGAAGCTTGGACATGTCAAGAAGGTGGTCTCCGGGCAGTGGCGAGCCACAACGAGCCCTTGGTGGCTGCTAGCCAACCTTTGCATTGGCACAGTCGTGCCTGGGTCATTGGATGGGTATTCTCAACGATGTTTTTGGATTGGAATCCTGGTGCTTTAAAGGTCACTTTCATTTAAAGTAAGTGGACACTGAATGCCTCAGGTGCTGCTTTTGAGCCCTTCGCCGCCTATCATCCCGTTTCTCACGGGGCTTCTGGCGCTCCTGAACCTCGGGCCTGGACATGTCGGTGTTTCCATTAGGCCAGTTCCAGTAAAGATAAAGAATCGGAGGCTCATGCAGCACCATGGCGCAACAAGAGGGAACACCCTTGGTGTCTTGCGGAGGGATAAAGATTGGTGTGATGTGTTTGTGTGGGCAAGCCCACGACCACACGAGTGTTTTCTCCATTGCTCAGATCTCTACAGCATAGTTCTTTCTCGGCTCAGTTTTTACAATGCAGGGAGACCCATGGGACTGTGTCCAACGAAGCTACCACTTGAAATGGGAAGGGAAGACTAGTCATCTTCCTGTACCTGCAGTTTCACCACTGGCAGTCGGAGCCTGCATAAGCAAGATTGTCGGCATGTTTTGGAATCAAGTTGGCATTGGTTGGCATGTTGGCAAGAGTTGTTGCGATCGGATATGATGTGCCCTTGTGGCTTCTTTGCGGGATTTTCTTGGGAACCTGAGGAATGCTCTGGCGCTCTTTGGCAAGACTCTGGGGAGCACTTTTCGAGGTCTCTGTTTCGCCAACCTGGGGGCGTACCTCTCAAGTCAGGCAGGTCGCTTTGGAAGTGCACAACGCCTGACTCCCCGGAGTTGTGATGAAACTGTGAAGATGTCAGGTGCAGCTCTCTTTGGCAGCCTCCCTTGTATGCCTTCCACTTTTTTGCCTGAACGTAGCCTTCTGGCTCTGGGCGGACCTCTTGGTGGCTGTGGGAGCCCCGATCCTTGACTGCTATTGCGCAGTTCCAAGACCCAGCAACACTGGGTGGAATTGATTTGCATATTGTCACCCTGCCATAGCTACAAAAGAATTTGCTCTACTTCCAAGCCTGGCTTCAAGAGCCAGTACAGCCAGAACCTAACATTCCCACCCCTCGATCTTTGTGCAAAGGGTACCCCTGCCCCAGGATCCTCCCAACTTGGGCAGTGCAGCCGCTCAGCTTCGCGACCCTGGATGTCCTCAGCACTGGTGCTTCCTGCTTCTGGCTGCTCTGGAAAACTGCTATGCTGGCAGAGGCATGTCCTGCTCAAAGAAGAAGGGACAGGTTGCAGGCTCTGTTCTAGCTGGTTTCACTTGGGACATCTTGGGACATTCTGGCAGAAGGGTCATACAGGGGCTGAAAAGAGCGCTTTGAGCAGAGGTCTTGGCCAGCCACAGCTACTACCGGAAGGCGGGAACACGTATTCTAGAGCAATGTGCGACTAAGTTGGGGAAGTTGGGATTCTTGTTAGATTATCCGACCTCACCCAGGTGCTAGCCAAGCGGAGGGACTCCGCTCCACCCTCATTCGTCTTCCATGCGGTGGATTCCCTCTATGCGCACCTCTTCAGGGCAGGTTGTAGTCTACAGATGGTAAGGGATGCAGATGTGCAGGGCGGCACCATGCGGCTGGGACAGGAAGCAATGAGGTCCGGGTCTGGGGAAGAAATCATCACGAGCCTTGTCACCAATCAGAAGCTACAAATCAGAAACCACGAATGGGAAAGATGCCCCCATTCAAACTGTGCAACAGAAAGCGCCGCAAATCAGCAACTGAATCAGGAACTGCCACTCGTACAGATCAGAGACCGAAGCAAGCCTCTGCCTTTTGCTGGGTCTTGATGTTCTTTCCCGACTGTTTTGTGCGACTTTGCTGTTGAAAGATGAGATTTTTCGTTGTGTGCATGTATGCATCTAAGGACGCTAACAAACTGGCAAGCCTATTGGACCTCACCCGCAAAAACTCGCACAGTTCCATATACCATCTGTCAGTCGTGGTGACTGCATCCCTTACATGCAGATCAATCCTCTGAGAACAACTCTCAGCGTTCTGGCAGGCGGAATTTTCAGCAGCAGGCCTAGGGGTCCCCAAACACTCTTGACACAGCTGGAAAGTAAGACACCGAAATGCGTAGCATTGACAACTTGTCGTGGCTTCTGGTCACAGCTTCCGGTCACAGCTTCTGCTCAAAGCTTCTGGTCACGTTTTCTGGTCACCGCTGCTGGTCACAGCCTCTGGTGAGCGTTCTCTAACCAGTTTCTTGCCCAAAAGTTGTCTGGCTGGTCCTCCATAACAAAATACACTTCCGCAACAATCCGAAAGACCTAGTGACTCAAGAACTGCACCTTGCAGACCACATGACATGCGCCCAGCAAACAACAAGCAACGGCTTGCTTGCTTTTTGCAAAACACTGTTTCAAGTTTGCAAGTGACCAACGCAACTTCTCAAGAGAGACGGCTTAGGACATGAAGGCCGAAGTTGTTTGCAACAATCTTGGAAGGTTTAAACAAATGCGCACTTTGCTGCCCAACAAATGAAGCCAGACTGTCTCCAACAAGCTGTCAACAAAAACTTTGCACAGATCCATGCTCGCTGGTCTAGGAGTTATAGGGTGTAGGGTTTAGGGATTAGGGTTTAGAGGTTATAGGGTTTAGGGTTTAGGGGCTTAGGGTCTAGGGGTTATAGGGTTTAGGGTTTAGGGTTTTGGGTCTAGGGGTTATAGGGTTTAGGGTTTAGCGTTTAGGGGTCTAGGGTCTAGGGGTTATAGAGTTTAG